GAGACGGGGGGGGTGCGCTTTGGATGCCTGCCTTGGCCTTCCGAATGGACATCTTTTGGCAACCTGGAGTCTGTGGTGGCCCATTGCTGTTTCTCACACAGACGATTCCCCTTTACGGCGGATCTCCATGGGCCGCCCACATCTCTCCCTCTGGATGCCCCTCACCTGCACTACCTGGGCAAAGTTGGGCCTTGTGGAGATCTTGAACTCAAGCCCCACACCACCACCCAGCTACCCTGCATCCAGGGGCCTCTGGGGGCCCATGTTTGTGTGAGTACGTAGAGGGCCCTTCACCTGGGTCATTGTGAAGCTGCTCCAATAATCTCTAAGCCTTCGGGCAGTTCCTCGCCATGGGCCTCAGACATACAACGTCTCCTGTGCCCATCTTTTTTCCCCTGGATAACATTGCGGCCTTGAACCCAGGCAGCTGTCCAGAAGGTGGAAGCCCTGCACAAATGGACTTGTGGCAGGAGGCTAAAAATATCTTGCATCAACAGGAGGAGGAGGAGGAGGAAGCCCCCACCCAAGGACTAAAGTGAATACTGTACATAATGACCAAGAAGTCATCAGAGGCATGAAATGCAGAAAAGCAGAACACTGCGGTGACATAAAGATACACGGAAAGTGCAGTTTGTTAGAGCTGATCATTCAGGGAGAGATAAATTGGGAAAGTAGGGCAGAAACGAGAAATGGGCATTGGCTGAAGCACGCAGGAGGCTAGTTGGATCCAGGACGGGACCGCTCTTTAGGGCTGACGCGTCCGAAAGCTAAATTGCTGAGATGGCACCTGACCACCTGCAGCAGAGGGAGGGGGAGGGGGCGTCTTCGGCTCAAAAGGCACTCCCCAGCCTCGTTTATGGGGGACAACCGGTCTGTTGCAGAGTTCTGAATATCAGGCAAAATTCTCTTTTTTGCTACGCAGTCGAAGTACAGGGACCCACAGAGGCGAGCAGCTTCAAGTTCTCCAGGGTCCACCCCTTTCCCATCAACTGGTACTGAACTGAGCTCCCGGATGCTGCTGGTCCACCACCGGTGTCCCATAGCCTGCAGCCAGTTCCTCCTGGTGGGAGCCGTCCTGCAGCCTCGTTCAGCTAAGCCACCTTTGACTCCCAGCACCGCCAGCAGGAGTAGGACCTTCACTGAATAGGCCCTGGCTGGTATTCGGAACTCTGTGCCAGGGCCATCCTGAAACGGAGAAGGGCTGTGGGGCTGAGTGGTCATGGCTAGTGGGGTGAGGGGGGGGAACAGGCCATCCTATTCTGCCTCCCCCTCCCCCACCAGCAGCTCAGGGTAGGAAATGGGGAGCCAGTTTGTCCAGAGAACTAACTCTGCCTCCTCTCACTGACCCACCGTCCAGATAGGAAGGGGGGGGTGCCCGGGAAGGGCACTCAGATGCACTCAGCAGCCTCATTCACTTCTTAGGTTCCACCCCCCCCACA